AAAGTGCAAGGTGTAGTGTTTGGTTACAAAGGCTCGGCACTGTGTGTGTGGGTTTATCCAGGCTGGGATAATTGCAGCAAGTCGCTGACCCACATCAGCTCTGTTTGTATGGTCACTGGTCACCAGGTCACAGACAGCGGGGTTACAAAAGTTCCTCAAGTTGATTGACGTATGCCAGAAGTCAATGCAAGACCCATTGTGTATGTGCACACCTCAGGTATGACTTAACGAAGATCTATGTCATTTATTTATTTTTTGAGTGATATAGTGAAGTGAATTTAGGTTGTTTTCTTAACTAAGTTCAATGTTTTTTGCACAGTAACCACGTGCAATTTGTTATTCCTTGGAAAAACTTGCATGAAAACATGGAAATGAGAAAGTGTGTGGGCTGACAGAGTTAGGAGCTGCTTTATCAATCTCAGGAAGCCTTGCTAGGAGGCAGGAACAACAGCCACTGGCTCTGAGAGAGGGGACTTTCCTCTGTCCTGCTCAGTTAGGATGCAGAACAATGACCAAATTACTCACACACACAATGACCACTGGCTTGGGTATTTTCAGTATGTGCTCATAGACCAGCTTACAGCAGGTTGCACCAGTGGTGGATTTTTGGGTTGTCTATTAAACCAGACACTGGGAAGTCGAAATCGTGGAAGTTGCAGAACTAGAGTGTCTAAACTGATGCAGTGTGCCCCACTTTTGGTTATTTTTGGGGTTAGCATGAGACATCTTGTCCTTGCTCTGCCCTCTTTTCCTCTCCTCTTCTACATCAGCTTTCTGTCTCACCCGCCCGCCCACACCCGTCTGCTGCTAATCACCATTACCTCACATCAATTCTTGATTACGACCCTTCTAGTGACAGTTTCAACAGCTCGCCCTCGCTTTTTTCCAGTGTTTCCAGATTTCTGTCACTTGTCGCCTGTAACGCTGGACGCTCTCCAGTTCTTGCGGCGATCCCACACCGCAGAGAGAAGAGAGAGAGAGAGAGAGGAGAGGAAGCAAAGACCCGGTTTGATAGAGGCATAGAGACTAGTCTTGCTGCAGTAATTGGTCAGGAAGTGGGCTGCTTGGATGTGCGAGCTCTTCTCTCTCTCTCCCCCTCCCCTCGCAGTGGGCAGTCAGTTGCGTTTTTGCTTCCATCTGTTCCCCCGTCTCTCTCTCTCTCTCTCTCTCTCCCTCTTTCCTCTCAGTGTCTCTCTTTATCTGAACTGACCTCATAGAGGGGTGGACCACGGACCGGGCCGCTTTGACACGAGCCCTGCACCTTCCTCTTTGAGGCATTTTTAAGACTATACATGTAGTGTGAAACTTTTCGCATGCCTGGACATGGATCTAACCTGTGACAGGATACTGGGATACCAGGAAAGGCTAATCGTGGGAATGGTCTCTCTGAGGTGAGCTGTCATTGTCTTTGTGTGGCGATGTAAACTGGCCTCAGTTTCTGGTTTAATTTACTGTAAATAGTTCTCCCAACAGGCTCTGATGACAGTGCAGAGTTGGAGTCCTTTCTTAACAGCTTTTTATTTAATCAGAATTACAGAGGTGGATTCCAACAAACCCAGTCTGACCTCCAATTACTCGGTCCAGAGTCTAAATTTAGCACGACTCTAATGGCACCTTTGCCCACTTTTGTGATACGGAGCATTGTCAGACTGTGGAACTGTGGCTACCAGTTTGGATTTAAGCTTCCTAGTGGATGCTGGGTAGAGAAATAGTAATACTTTCACCTGTGTGTATTTAAGAAGATGGTTAACATGGCGTTTGTAGGTGTGTTTATATAATTTCTAACAATTTAGTGAGTGCAGTTCTACTGTAACTCGGAAAAGAATACTTAAGAAATAGCTTAAGTGTTAGAAGAACTGCCGTATCTCCATAGGGAAAGTGTGATGATGAACATTGGATTCAACATGACTCTTACTCTTCAGATTTTACCTGAAACATTTAGTGTGGTGCGTGTGTTTTGGTTGTGTGTGTGTGCACGTGTGATGTCCTTTGTGGTGTGTCCTCATTCTGGGAGCTTTAACTGGAGCACCCAGCTTCTGAGGGACACTGATATATAGACACAATGGGATGGACCCATTTGTTGTCATGCCATAAATCTTTAAAAAACTGAGATGTATGGTTTTGTAGCATAATTGTTGGTAAACTGACTTTTACTGTGTTTCTGGTTTGTTAATGCTGGTGGCATGTCAGATGAGACTTCATATATTTGTGGTCGTAGGTTTTCCTTGTACGCCGTGGCTTGCATTTGGATCATCTTTGTTTGTTTATAACTGTAAAATAGTCTGACATTATTCATTTCCATAATTGCCTGATGATAAGGCCTCACATTTAGTGGTAAGCAACATTCATTGATATATATTCAAACTGTTTTTATATATGACAGTTTACTTTTAACGATGAAAATCACTATATCATGTTTTGCTCTTAAGAAGACCATGAAATTAGTGTGCATCTTAACCTCTTTACTCCATATTTAATAAATGTTTGTATTGTAGTTTGTCACTATAGTCTAAGTACCATATGTGTACTTTATTATTTTAGATGGTGTCATGTGTTTCCCTAATGGGACAAAAGTCCCTATGTCTGCGATCTGCTGGTCTCCTTTCCTGGAGCGGGACCCTCGTCCTGCATTTTAATCTGAGGCCAAACACAGCTTCCTCCATATATCCGCCACACATGCTCACATACTCACTGAGCACACAATAGCTCTACACACACACACACACACACACACACACACACACACACACACACACACACACACACACACACACACACACACA